TTTTTTTACAAACAGGAATGAAAAGTGCCAGAAATGTCAGAATATACCAGCCATCTGACCCCTCAAAGCAAAGGGTCTTGCCTAAATATGACTTTCCTGAATATCTTGTAAATGCAACCCCTCGTGTAAACCGTATCATGTCATACGAGGTTGAACAGATTGATTCTAAAGATCAAGTGAAACTGATAGACAGCGATGTCATAGTATTTAATAGGCCTTAGCATTTCGTTGGAAGTAATGGATCGGTGTGGGCTTCAGAGTATATGAGGCTACGTTATGAAGTTCCCGAGCTTTTTGTTGTTGATAAAAGCAAAATTACCCAAGCCTCATCAACTCTTATCAGACTCACTGATCAAATGAAGTTGTATTGCCTAATGTCCAACAAAAGTGATGTAAGTCTAATTTCCCAGGATCCAAACTGTCCATATCGAAAGTATGAAGAAAAGCGAGCTGTTAATCTGCTTCAATACCTTACTCTATCTCAAGAAGCTATGACTGCGATGCCAGAGAACTTTGAAATGGTACCTATCACTAATATTTTGGCTTTAATTCAACACTACGAAGATCTGGTAAAGCAAATACAATCAAGCTGCAAAGCCTCTGTAATTTGGGCTACTGTAGAAATAGTAACCAATGTATGCAAACAAAGTCTTCAACATCTCGCCTCCCTGTTACCTGTATTCAAGTCCAGATTACACGAGTTTATAGATGCTGGACCTGGTGTTGGGGTAACCAATCACGATGTTCAAATGCGCTGTGCAGAAATCATTCTTCTCACTCAGCCAGATTACTACATCAGGCACCACCTTGCTAATGATGACAGCAGCCAAAACGAAGTGGAACGTTGTCAAAGCTACGTTGGTGATGCGATTTGTGATGGTGGGTCAATTTTATGGGAGCATAAAACACCGTATGAGGGAATATCTGATTAGAAAATTGATTCCATGACACTGGAAGAGTTGGAGGAAAGTGAGCGTGATCGCATGAAGTATAATGCTTTTAAGGTGTGCGAAGAACTCACTTGTCGCATAGACGGGGCAACTGCTCCTGGAGGCTTCATGAGAGCGTTTACATCAAGTGACACAAACGAACTCTTCTTTAACAATCACAGCTGTTTGAAATCGTACTTAGCCGTTTCAGGCAATGCAGAGAATCCTTGCCCTGGAAGAAATTATTTTGATATGGTGAAAAAGTTTATTGAGCAACATATTGATCTGGGAGAGAAGTATATGGAGTTTTTGAAATGCCATTGCAGTAATTGTCAGCACTGCATGATAGCTTCTTGGGTTGGTCCTCCCTGTGACAAAGTACCAAAACCGTATCCAGATTATGAAGCCTCGGGATTTCATTACCTGGATATTGATGCAACACCTGATCAGATTGATGGCAGAGCCAGAAACATTGATGACTTTCAGCCACGAAAACAAGCTAAGATCGCAATGATGGAAAAACGATTAGGAACAGAGGAAGAGATCGAAAACTTTTCTAAGACATTTATTGTTGAAAAAGGGAAACTCAAGAAATACATCGACCATTTGGCAGTTTTAGACATCGCAAGAAAAAAAAGAGCTGACAAAAGAAAGGAAGCATTAGAAATAGAAAAGAAAAAAACATTTTCTGATTATGATTGGCAAAAATTGTTCGAAGGTGGTTCATTATCAAAACTTAAGGTGTGTGAGTTGGACAAATATCTTAAAAATTACAATATCAGAAGTGCTAACAAATTAAAAAAGAAGGATAAGGTGCGTTTAATACAAAGACATATTGCAAGGGCTAGCGATATGCAGTTGAACGATGATCAACAAAAAGATTTGGAAGAATATACGGAAGAGGAGATGGAAAATAAATCACAAAGTCATTCATAAAGTGATTCGTCTGAAAGCTCAGATGATAGTGGAGATGACATTGTTATTGCTGACACACATTTATCGAGTTCTTCTTCTGATGAAAACAATGAACTGAATGATGAGAACTGGCCTGGAAACTCTATTGATGTTGGCAATCTCTTTACAACAACGAGAAGTGGTCGAACTGCAACAACTTGGAAAGCAGTAGAATATGTAAGTTTTAGAATATACGCATTACCGAATAGGTAGTAGCAATGCTGCAGTTTTAGTAGAGATTTCGTCCAATTGAGCCTGCATATTCACATATTTGTGTTCATTCACTAATTATAGGGCTTTTTGTGATGTTACGGAAGTGCGGTGGTAATGGAATTAAAGGTACAATAGTTTTAGAATAAGGTTATTATAAAATATGATTCAAATGCAAATCGTATTTTAGTGAATAAATCACTCAATATACAACGAATTATTTTGTTCTATAAAGGTTATATGAGAAACCGACGCTGCATGGTTGGTTTGATCAAAGTGATAGACACGCTGTACATTAACATTTATAGCAGGATGGGTCATGAAACTTTTCCAATGACTTATGATGGGCTTTTAGATCTTTTCTAGATTTTCAGGATGGGCCACCGAATTTTTTTTGGAAAACATATTTTTCCCTCCGGCCCACCCTAGCAGTTACTTTATGACCGCTCCCTTAAAGCGTGTACAACATCAATCCCTGTTCAGTAAACGTTTTCCAACCATTTTAGCGTTGGAATTATTGTGTTATAATCCTAAATCTGACTACTTTAATTTTTGTACACTATTCATGATTCAATTCATGAATAAGAAATTCCTAAACTGTATTCTTCAATTTTGTATTCTTTAATCTTTTTTGTCCTTGTGCTCTTTGTCCTCTCCTCCAAAGATAAAAGTGAAGAAAAATCGCAAGAAATTAATCGCCAATAATAAAATTACTTGCCAAAACAGAAAACCAAACGCTATATAATGTCCAGGTCAAGGTATTTCCATAACGGGATATCTTGCCGGTATGGTCTCAAGTAATCTCCTCCGAATGACAGAACGTGGTTGACCAGAATGTTGACCCTCATGCAACTGACGCAAACCTTTCAAATTTCAAAATTGCAGACGCCTTCTCTACGATACCCAAAGCCTTTGCGGACTACTTTCCTGGCATTTCACGGGTTATCAGCAACTCATTGATATTGAAAATCAGTAGAACAAATGTAAACATCAGGGATTTCATGATCAAGGTTAAATTTCCTTCCCTATTGTACAGAGCACGGACCGGGGTCTTATAACAATGTTTGATGGAACAATGTTTTAAAATCACACGACTGCAATTCTGCAAACCTACGCTAACTACGTTTTTATTTTATACATAGTGCCTCAAGAGTAAACAAAATCACCACTTTAAACATGTCCTAAATCCTAATGCAATAAATAATCAGTTTAACGTTTTAATTTTTATAATTGCAAGAAAGGGGAGTTATTTAGCTTCCTAACAATTCACGCCATTGTGGCTAGAAATGAATAAATAATCGTCTGATAAAAATGGCCAATCAAAAACCAGAACTTTTACCGCTGGGAATTGAATCAAACAATCTGATTGGCCCGTACACACATCAAGCTCATAATGAATTCATATTTGCTTCGTGTTGCCTTCAAACGGGGAAGTTTGATTTTGATCACAAATTTTACTATGAAAATATTTGACATTTACTGCTGTTATAAAGCAAAGAAAGGTATGATTGGGAAGCTAACTAAATGCTTTTTCATACTGCATAAGAATCAAATCACGAAATTCTATATATCCTGCGTAAATGTATGTTAACTTTCGTCTTTTTTCAGGCACGCTGCACAATGCAACTGGCTTTTAACATAAGTCAACCACAAACTTGTCGTGATTAAGGTAATGCGTTTTAACTATATACAGTATACAATTGGTTACAATTGGGTGGTTAAACTGAAGAATTTAAAACGTTGTTGATGGAAGTATAAAGCCGCCCACGGCCTGGCTAAACTTTGTTATTAAAGGTAACTTTGTCTTACAACGTAGTTAAGAGTTTTTGTACAAATAACCGGCCGGTTGTACAAAGCCTAAAAGGCTGGATAGCGCTATCAACGGATAGTTCTTTTTTTAACCGATTAAAAGATGCTGGAAAAGCAATAAGGCACAGCTTTGCCGGATAAGAATTGTCAAAGAGGATCCCAATTTATCAATACTAACGTTTAGTCAAAGTTATACCGAACAACGTGCAGTTTTAGAGCAATTGAAAAAATCACTATTCGGACTTCGGGGGATAGCGGCTTTTTAGCGCTATCCAGCTTTCGTACAACCGGCCCCAGGCATGTAGTTTTTACCGCTTGACTCTCATTTCAAAGCTTTTGACATTTTTACAATCCTTCGAAGCAAATTTACTTGGAAATTTGTCATATAAAAGTAGAAATCTTACTGTTTTATCTGTCTTTTTATTTCCCCGGGGGAAGGACTCTGGGTACAAAATGTCCGGGGCATGGTTTCGCTAAAAAATACCATAGTTAGGTGGACGTTGGTATAAAGTTATGACAGAATTGATTGGACAAGCTTGTTGTGAGTTATAATATATTCTCTGCATCATGGGCAAAATGAAAATCACTTTTTAAAACAAACTTTATTTTTTACAAACCTCAATGTGTGAATGATTTTTTCAGTGTGCATATTTATATAATGGCGTTAATCACGGAAAGGGTCGGGGTTTTGATGTGACAAGTAAATGTAATTAGTCTGAAACATTACGATTCAATACCTTTATTAAAAAGTCTTTAACAAGCATGGTAAAAAAATAGATATCAAGGTGAATTTTTCAACTATAGTATTCAGTAGATTTCCTTGATCAGGTGAAAGACTACATGACCAATCTGCAGCTTAAAAGTAGAAACCAGCGAGTCATATAAATATTTTTCACCAAAAACCTGATTGTTAATTTTGGGGATATCAACAATACTATATGGTAATACTACACGGAATAGACGGAATTGGTTTAAATTATCCCTCACCCACCCACCCCTTCCCCCGCTCTATGGAATCGTCAGGAACTAGAACCTTATAATTCTATTGTGGAAGCACTATTACATTCCAAAAATTTCCATCAAAATTATGGCGCAAAATTTAAACATGTCTAAACAAACTCGCGCGGGAAGAATATTTGCTGGTAAAAGAGCAAATATTGGAGACAAGCCATACGAATGTGATTTTTGTAAGAAGAGATTTAGACGACCAGATAATCTCGAAAACCATGTGAGAAAACATACTGGAGAGAAACCTTATAGATGCTGTCTTTGTAACAAAGGATACAAAGATCAAGCTGGCTTATCTTATCATCTGAGAACCCACAATGGAGAAAAGCCATTCGAATGTGATATTTGTAACAAAAGATATACACATTCCAGGAGTCTTCTAGTGCATAAGAGAAAACACACTGGAGAGAAACCTCATGCATGTGATCTTTGTGAGAAAAGATATGGAAATCTACCAAGCTTAATATATCATGTGAAAACACACACTGGAGAGAAACCGTATGAATGTCCTGTTTGTAAGAAAAGATTTTCAAAGAAAAGCAACCTTGTAGTGCATAAGAGAACACATAATGAAGAGAAACCTTATGAGTGTGATGTTTGTAGCAAGAGATTCAAAAATACTAGCAGTGTGGTTTATCACATGAGAAAACACACAGGGAGGGATCTTTATGAATGTGATGTTTGTAATAAAGGATTTGCATATCCGAATACCTTTGTGCGTCACAAGAAGACACAGCGCCATAAAAAGAGATCTTATGAGTGCAATGTTTCTAACAAGACATTTGCACAATCTAACACCCTTGCAGACCATCATGGAGAAACACACACTCAAGAGAAACGTTCTGAATCTATTTCTCCAAAAAAGAATGCAGATGAAATTGGGCTAATGAAACATAAAAACAAGCATTTGATGTGCAAGAGCTGCAACAAGGAGATTTTTCAACCACAAGATTTGCTGGAACATTTTGTAGAAGATGAAATTACTGGAAAGTTTATTTGTAATATTTGTAAACAACAACATCAAAATTTCAGGCAATTAGTGTCACATATAGCAAAGGAGCATGGCAAGGATTGGAAATTTAAATGTGCTCTTTGTCAAGAACTGGAATCAACAGAACCAACTGGTGTTGGATACATTTGTTGTGTCTGTGATGTTGTGTTTGATGTTCCCAGAGAACTTGAAGATCATATGATTGCCCAGCATTCATGAAAGAGAGTGGTCTGATTTTTTGTTGTTTATGTAGCTGATTTTTTATGTAGATAAATAAAATTTCTTTGAAGCAAGGAATGTTGTTAAGTGCAAGCTCAGGATTGAGCCCTGCATGGCAGCAGTAATCACGAACAGGGAAAAAGGGATCAATTTCAATTTTCTTGCCTAAAAATGAGCAATGCCTCCCACAGGTACCAGAAGCAGTTTAATGCAGTAGCTGCAGGGGCAGAATTTCACAAATGTCACTTTACAAACTACACAGAGAAAGCTCAAACCTAAAAGTATATAAATAATGAATACCAGCTGCCCAAAAGGCTATAGTCTACTAAAAAATGTCTGTCAAGTAATTTAAATTACTGATTGGATGCAGAGCCTGCATGTGCATCTTGACCATTCTAATATTACCATGATAGTGCCATATGGTAACATAGGGTACTGGTCTGCCTTCCTTCAGTTCCTTGCCCTTAGCCATGCCTCTGGTAATGGCACCCTTGCTTAATCCAGATACTTATAGCTCAGCAGTAATGGTAATAAAGTCTCTGGTCGACTGGTCCCTGGTCATATTACAGTTAATTAATAGGTAATTAACTGTAATACTATCAAGCAGTCTATTTTTCATTTAACTGCAGTCATGAATTTTACAAACCATCCAAAAGTAAGTCAGAGCAATCATTTTAGCAGACAAGTGAGTCATCATCTGGTTAATTTTTTCTTTGTTCTGAATTTTTGACACTGAGCTATATACTTATACTGATAACTTGCTCATCTTGATCCCAAGGGCCAAGTCTGAAGGGAGCCGAAGAATCTGATCTTTGATCGAAGATCAAATTCGGCCATTAATGTAATATAAAATTTATGAAAAGATTTAATCATGTCGTCTGATTCTCTCACGAGGAATTCCGCAAATTTTGCAAGAAAATACAATGGCGAGAGACCATATGAGTGTGATGTTTGTAACAAGAGATTCACACGATCTAGTTCACTTTTATCGCATAAAAGAAGACACACCGTCACTGGAGAGAAACCTTATGAATGTGATGTTTGTAACAAGAGCTTTACACTATCTGGTTTGCTTTTATCGCATAAAAGAAGAAAACATGAAGAGAAACCTTATGAATGTGATGTTTGTAAAAAGAGGTTCAAAAGGTCTTGCGGCCTTGTAGCCCACGTGAGAACCCACACTGGGGAGAAACCTTTCAAATGTGATGTTTGTAATATGTCATTTACACAAGCTATCGCACTTACATTTCACAAGAAAAAAAAGAAACCATATGAATGTGGTGTTTGTAACCAAAGATTCAGACAATATAATTACCTTGAAATACATAAAAAAAACATACTGGAGAGAGACCACATGAATGTGATGTTTGTCACAAGAAATACGCACAATTTGGTTCCCTTGCATCACATATAAAAAGAAACCACAGCTGCCACAGCGGAGAGAGAACTTATAAAGGTATTTTAACCACACACGAAAACAAGCACTTGTTGTGCAACAGTTGCAACAAGGAGATTGTTCAACCACAAGATTTTCTGGAACATTTTGTAGAAGATGAAAGTACTGGAGAGTTTATTTGTAATAATTGTAAACAACAACATCAAAATTTCAGGCAATTAGTGCAACATATTGCAAAGGAGCATGGCAAAGATGAAAAATATCAATGTGGTCTTTGTCAAGAACTTAATTCAGCAGAACCAACTGGTGTTGGGTATATTTGTTGTGTTTGTGATGTTGTGTTTGATGTTCCCAGAGAACTTGAAGTTCATATGATGGCCAAGCATTCATGAGAGGAGGAAAGCTGACTTGTTTTGTTGTTGTTGTGTTTATCGCCAAGTGTGAGTGTTTTTCATCTTCCTTCAGGGACGGATCTAGAAGCTTCATTGGGGGGGGGGTGCATATTCATATACTTGTCTTATGCCCGATTGATTTATTTTGATAGCGCGATTGTTTTTACCCTCTTTTAAACTTGAATATATGAATATGCACCCCCGCAATTGAGCTTCTAGGTCTGTGCCTACCTTCCTTTATATTATATTATATAAGTCTTTATATTTTTGGAAGAGCATTATTTTTAAGTAAATTTATACTTTGTTTTTTGACTGAAACTCTGATCGCAAACATTTTTTTAACATTGAAAATTTCGTTGAAGTAGACTTTTAACAATTGTTTTTTACAATATATGTATATTGTGTATATAGTTATAGTCAACTACAATGTAAACATTTGCATATGATAAAGATGCCTGCATGTGAGCATTGTTACTTTATACTAGCCTAGTTCCTTATTCTCTGAAACAATGTCTTGGTGATTTGGATTAAGGAGGGGGGGGCGGGGGTGGCTGTCGTTTATGACCTTGAATAAAATATTTATGTAAAAAAACATGGTTGCAAGCTCAGGAGCTGATGGTCTACTTGCAAAGACAATGTCCTATCAACTGTGAACTAGATGGCTCGAAGCCAGTCTTCGAATCATTGAAAGAATTTTGAATTATGACAAGATCTCATGGTGTAGTGGTGAAGACTATGGTCTCCCAAGTGGGAAGTCGATGGTTCGAATCCCACCACAACCGTTTTTCATTATGACCTTCGTGAAAAAGATAAAGTAAATTAAATAATCATAGCTGTTCAGCACAAGATCTCGTAGTCTAGTGGCGAAATCAATGTTCTCCCAAGTGGTAAATCGATTGTTCGAATCCCACCACAACTGTTTTAATTTCTTTATGACAGTCGTAAAAAGGATCAAGTAAATTAAATAACATGGTTGTTTAGTACTTCATTTCGTGGTCTGGTGGTGAAGACAATGGTCTCCAAAGTGGAATTGGGTGGTTCGATCCGGACTGAAATATTTTTAATCATGACCTTTAAAATAAGGATAAAGAAAATTAAAAACCATAGCGCTTCAGTTCAAAATCTCGTGGTGCAGTGGTGAGGACAATGGTCTCCCAAGTGGGAAGTCGTTGGTTCGAATCCCACCACAACCGTTTTTCATTATGACCTTTGTGAAAAGGATAAAGTAAATTAAATAATCATAGCTGTTCAGCACAAGATCTCCTAGTCTAGTGGCGAAATCAATGGTCTCCCGAGTGGTAAATCGATGGTTCGAATCCCACCACAATCGTTTTTCATTATGACCTTCGTGAAAAGGATAAAGTAAATTAAATAATCATAGCTTTTCAGCACAAGATCTCGTAGTCTAGTGGCGAAATCAATGGTCTCCCGAGTGGTAAATCGAAGGTTCGAATCTCGTTTTAGATAAAAATTTTCGTTGTTAGTAATACACGGTAAGGTTATGGCGAATAAGTTGGTGTAGGCTTCCAACAATCACCAGTTAGCCTTGTGGTAAAGTCGTGGACTATCAAGTACAAGATCGAGGTATCAAGAACAGGATGGTATGTTTCTCATGGCGGTAAAAGAAAAAAAATGGTAGGTATGTTGCTCGGGGTAGGTTTATACTCGGTTAATCTTTGGAATTAAAATTAATCTTTAGGGAAATAAGGGGATAGTTAGGGTGAATTAGGGGTATATGAGTACAAAATATGAGTACAAAAAGACTTAGTAATTGGGCGGCCTCGGCTCCCCGGGGCAAGGGGGAAGGTATAGGTGAGAAAACACTATATAAAATGTTTAAGTCTTTTTGTACTCATTTAAACCTCTTTACCCCTATTTATCCTCCTATTTACTCCTATCTATCCCTACTCTTTCTTACCCCCAGATATCCCTAACTATCCCCTTACACAATTAAATGTTTGAAGAAAGCTTGCTTTGAAAGTCGGGAAAGGCGGGGGAAAGAGAACCCCCCTCAGTCTACTCCTCGCCCAAGGCGAGGGCATATTCGCCCTCTCGCTCTACTCCTCTCACACTCACAAATTCTCACTTTGTTACCTTGTTGTTCTTTTTCGGTTTGTTCCGGGCTTGAACCATCGGCTGTATACTTGACAGGTCACCGTCTTCACCACTACACCACCAGTTCTTGTGGTGAACACCTACTGTTTTTTATTTAACTTAATCCTTTTATGGAAGGATCTTTGACGAAACTTACTAACTTTTGGTAGGATCTCAAATGAAATAACAATTTAAACAGATGCATGAGTTCACTGTAATGTTCATGATTTATTTTCTAAAATCTCAGACATCGTGTCTTTACAGACTTTACTATCTTGTTCGTAGCTTGTAACATATCACATACAGATATGGAGTGCTTTAATATTTTCATAAGTTGGTTATATGCGGCCCAAGTGAAGCTAATGGTTACGGTGCGATTGTTTTGTATTTTTAATGAAGTGAAGTCACAGTAAAGTACAAGAATTAAGAACAGCCGAATACTCATCTTACTGAGACTGGAATGTTGATAGCCGTAAAAACCCGTCTTAATGTGAATTGGGATGTGGAAAATGTTTACGTGTGATGATGGTTCGGGTAATGCGTAATCATTACGATAATAACTGTGTTTGTTCTCCGTAGCCCTTGTTCAGTCGTTGACCGTGCTGATATTTCTGAAACTCGTCTGATTTACTGATACGTCTAAATGCGATTTTAAGACGAGTTTCTCTTCCAGACGAGATTCCCGTCTAACTTACGCGTCTCTTAATTTAGACGGGAAAGTTGTACAGGAAAATTCGGACGAGAAACCCGTCTGTGGGGTTCACATCAGACGAGTGTCCCGTCTTTGATGAGTTTCCCGTGTATATGAATTCGGCTAAATGTATATAGCTCGTATAGTCATAAGGCAACAAGCATTACATCTGAAATTGCAAATAAGCAAATATCCAGGTAAACAGACATTGAATATTTATTTCAAGATTGTTCCTCGCGGGTTCATTTATGGCCGGTTCGTCGAATATAAAATACGCTAATCTAATATTTGAACCTTTATTTTGTACTACAGAGACCAACGTCTTAACAACTACTTGACGACAACATAGTTTCTCGATAAGCTATTGTTCTCTATTTGACTTACTCGTTTCTTCGAAGAACTTTTAAATGAATAATTATAAATCGTTGCCGTAATATTGTAGAGCTGCTGTTTGTTTTTTTGTTACCGCGATTAACTGCGGAAATTGCGTTTTTATAAACAGAACTTCTTTTTTCTTAGCGTATTTTATATTCGACGAACCGGCTAAACAAGCTAATATTTCGACTCTTTATGGAACAAAATCTTGAGATAAATAATTCATATCTGTTTAACTGGATATTTGCTTCAATTGCGATTTTAGATGTATTAAATCTACGAGAGTACGAGGTGCATGCTTGTTGCCTCATGATTATACGTGTTATACACATTGA